TGGATCACCACAAAAACATACAGGCTCGGAGAACTGCAAATTTCAACATAACACCATTATAACGGCAAAAAATAACACTCCAATAAAATCAATCAATAGATACAATAAGACTAGTATAACACCAAAAAAATACGTACATATCACAACTTCCCCACTCCAACACAAAGTTATAGTTTAAAGCTAATAATACATAAATAATACATAATAACACCATAATAACACCCACATAACACTATTTACAATGACAAAATAATACTCCAATAAAATCCAATAATTAGATCCAATGATAGTACCTAAATAACACTCCACTATTGTTATATGTCAATAATACAGACCAAAAACACTTTGATAATAGCTAAATAACACAATGTCCCCCCTCCAACAAAACGGTAATGTTGCAACCAAATAATACAGTAATAAAACCAGAATAACATCACAATAACATCACTAAGACGACAAGAATAACATTCTCAATCTCTCTTTGTTTTATGACTTATGATTGAAATACTTATAGAAAAAAAGAAAATTTTGATATGTACCACACAATTCTTAAGGGTTCAGATATCTAACACTTGAAGTTTGATATTTACATCTATAACATTCAAATTTTTAACATCACATAAAAAAATATCACTTTACTATCTTTTCAAAAGTCAAATGCACCTTTTCATAGACTAAAGTGATAGCCCCTAACTATGTACATGGGATCATTTTAGCCACAAAGTTTATAAAAATATCAAAATAATATTTAGACTCTTCAAATTGAGACAGAAATATTTCTCATGAAGAGCTACTAAGTTTCAATTTTAAAATAGTTGGTGGCTATTTTAAGGCTATTTTAAAAGAGTGAACATGTCATAATAGTCACTTTACTCGATCCAAAATAGCTTGACCAAATCGAGTATTAAAAGAGTTAATCTTGCACATATAACCCATTTAACATAAGATCAAAATCAGGCCAACCATAAGTCAATTTCAGGTCAAATCTTGGCTAACGGTCAATTTCAGCCTTTAGAGTCAGTTTTGGATTGGTGGGTTAACCTGAACCTAACCCATAAAATTAAACGATTAAAACTTTTAACCCGAACAAGACCCGAAATTTATTCGAATTAACACAAATCTGAATTGAGTCATGTTCGGGTCATTGGCGCCTCATGTCAATTTTTGACACCATTATTTAAAATCATTAAGCTTCGATACCGAGACCAACATATTAGGCGACAATCTCCAACAAATCCTTAAAATGTAGTCTTATAGAGATTGAAATATTAGTGAGAAAATCAAATTCAAACTAATGAAATAATTTCATCTGAATTAGGCTCTATAACTTTTCTCCCCACGAGATTTCATATTTAAAAAAAATATCTTTGTTCTATGTGTTTACAACATTCTTCATTTTTAGCAATATGAATGACAAATATTGGTACAAACTAAAATTTAGGGCCAATTATAACTAGAAAATGTATTTTTAATTATTTATTAAATAAACTAATTTATTAGTACTTAAATACATTATTTGATCGCATGAAAACTAGCTTGTAATTTATATATTATTTTATTTTATTCATGTAAAGTAGTTATGTAATAATTGAAATTTTATTCAATTGTATAATTGTTTAGATATATAAAATCACTTGTCAAAATTGCATATGAAAAACTAGATACTCGTCCAAATTTTTATCTGGTTTGTTAACTCATTGAAATACTCGCTCAATTAATATAAACAACCAAAGTACATATTAAATATGATTATTAGAAAATTTAAACAAATAAAGTACAAACATAGATGATAATGCTCGACTTCAGCTTGAGTTGAACATGAACTAATAGTATGACCAAACCAAATCCAATCCGTGTAATACACGGCTTGACACAACTAGATTATAGCCCTAATAAAATTGAAAGGAGGCTGACTCCACCAATAGACTAATCTGTGAGTGCCAAATCTTCAGTGACGGCATAAAGGGTAGGGTCCTAGCAGACCAATCAACCATTTAGTATTCTCTTTGTTGCTCCACAATGTCATCACCCTATAACGACACGGGCTGTTTTGCCACTTGAAATCATCAGTCTAAACTCATCTCAAACTGACAAACATTAAAGTCTTAAATTCATATCAGACTTGAAGTCAATAAACCTAATCTAACCTTGAACTTGGAAGTTATCAGACAATCTAAACATATCTTAAACTTCAAGTCATTAAAGAGTTTAAACTCATCTCATACTTAAAATTGTCCAAAGCATAGTTTAACTCATTTACCGAGCTCACTAGAATTGAAATTATCCAAAGAAGAATTTAACTTGATCATTAATCTCGCAAGTAGTTCAAAAGCAACATCAATAACAAGCCTTTATCTGGACCATTAATCTTGCAAGTAGTTGAAAAACAACAACCATAACAAGCATTTATCCCACTAAGTGGGGTCTGCTACATAATTTTTTTTTGTCCATTGTGTCCTATTTAGTGCCATATTTTCATTAAATTCTAATAAATTAAGATCATTTTTTATACAACATGCCTAAGTCTTTTTAGGTCTAACTCTACCGTACTTAATATAAGTTGAATCTAAACATCTACTCTCCTAACCAGATCATCATATGATCAGCATTTAATGTGACTAAAACATCTAAGACGAATCTCTCTAAATTTGTTTACCATTAGAGCTACACCAACCCATTTACGGATATATTTGTTTCGCATTTGTTCAAGCTAAGAGTTCAATGCAGAGGCATGTAATAGTTGCGACAAATACAGCACCACAATTGCATTAAATAGAACCCCAGCTTGGTTTCTCAAAGATAGTCGGCATAAATCCTATGATGTGGAAATACTTAACAGTAAGATCTACCTTATAAACCAAGCCATTACGATTCCATAAAACATTACATCGGTTACACTCAGCTACATATGAAAAAAAAAGCTAGGGCATACCCACAACTTCAAATGCTAGCACAAAAACATCAAACGAGAGGAATTAGAAGGTCAGAGGGAAGGTCTACTCTCCTTCCAAAGAAATTAGCCGTGCATAAATGTACATGGTAATTTCTAAGAGTACATGATTATATGTGTAAAAAAAAGTTTTAGATGCACTATTTCAAAGATGTCGTAACCATGTGTCACAAGTGCGTGTCTAAATGCTTCAACGAGAGGTATAAACTGATGTATTCACGCATAAATTCATACATGTTTTGGTAATAAAGGAATGGTAATTCCATTCTACACATGCAGGTAACATTGCTGGGGCTGTACTACTCTCAAGAAATATGCAACTCCCAAATTCGAAACAACATTTTGGACATAAAATGCAAAATGGCCAAGAATGAGATGGAAAAACAAGCAAACAAGAAGAAAATTGACAAGCGTTTGATGAATTAAATTACCAAAAAAGATCTTAAATGACTAAACATGAAAATCCAATCAAAGCATGGCATGGTATGATGTGGCTTCCTTTTGGGGGTGAACCACAACGAATTAGTTTAAGCAATGTCTAAATCACCCTAGTTTGGGTCAGTGCTAACCCTACAATGTCTAGAGCTGCCCTAGCAGCTTGGCACAGCAGTTGAAGAGGGACGATGGATGGTAGGTTGATCCTAGCCCCACACATCGTCCTTTTTTTGGTCCAAACGCAACCACAGCCAAATCGTCTAGTGTAGGATCAGTCAAGTGCTATGATCGACCCAAAATAGCTCTTATTAGCAGGCAGGGCTGAGTATTCGGTATGTTTGGATTGATCAGTTCCCAAATTGGTAAAACCAATTGTAACTGAAATCCGGAAAACCAAACCGATCAAAAATTTGATCAAACCAAACCAAAATTTAAATCAGAATAAATGGTTCAAATATGAACAAAACAAACCAACATTTATATGTAAGTTGGAGTTCAATCATGAACAAACATCGATAATTATATATCATTTGTTTATACTATCAATTTAGTTTTATGAATAGCCCATTTAAATTCAAATTTTTGCCTTTTCGGTTAGTTCGAATAAAAAAAATAAAAAATTAACCAATAACAAAAAACCAAAAACCAAGTATTGAGGTTTTAAAACAAAAAAAAAAATGAATTGCATTTTTTAAAACAAATTTCTCGGTTCCATTTGATTTTTCGGTTTTGGCCAAATCCGTTTACCAGGTTGTGGAAGTCGATGCCTCCCACAACAAAGGGCATCTAAACCACCTTGAAGCTTCCTCTAACTCCGTAAAGATAAAAGGGAAACAACCAGTAATCCTACCCAAGCAAGATATGTTTTTCAGGGTTGGCCCCCACCTGGCAAAGCTATTTATGCAGCCTTACTTATTGCCGAAATTATGAAAAAGAACACCTTTGGTATTCAAGTAAATGGGTAAAGTTCAGTTTGACTATCAAAACCTCCCTTTCCCGAGATGCATATACGTGTTGATCCATCAAGATGGTATTCCAATGGTCATGTGGCACTTTAATGGCGCTTTTGATTAAAACCAGATCAACAAATCACCACCACCTAAGCTAATGCATTAGGGCTACAAAAAACTCTCCACTGATTCACTATATTGAAGACAACCCAGTACACCTATAATTCAAAAAAGCTACATACGAATTCATCTCAAGCAAGACTACCAAACGTCTCAGATTGAGAGGCCCACGAATCACCTTCCTAAATATCTTGAGTTGCTCAATGCCAAGCCGCTAGATGCAGATTTTAGGTCAAATTCTCATTCATTCATCACACCCATGATTCAAGACTTCAAATTATTTCCTTCACTTATATTCTAGGTTTATGGAAGACATCAGCCCGAAATTTTAAAACCCACAAGCTCAATGACAAACCTGAAGGTCGAAAGCTTAACCACACACCATGAAGAAGCTGCAAATCATAAAGAACAGTAGCACCATAAAGACGACACGAAAAAACTTCTTCAGCATAAAAGAAAACATAAAGAGCTCTAAAACCCCCAAAATTTTCCTAGAAAAAAGAAACCCTAAAATCTACCAAATTGCGACCTTAAAATTATATACATAAGCAAAAAAGATTGAGCAATAACCCCGATAACAAATTATCCACACAAAAGGAAAACGCAAGTCGATGTTATACAAAACCCTTTGAGCATTTCAACACAACAACATATAAAGGAAACCCATACCCAAAGGATTGGTAACTTCAACGATGGTTTCGACATATAATAGATCTCTAATCTACTTATCTTTAGAGGTGGAGATTCCATATTTCTCTTGCATGCGTGCGAGCTCATCCTCCTTCTTCTTCAGGTCCATCTTTTTGCTAATCTTGGATTGCTGATAATACAACACGATGAGATATCGATTCGCGACGTTGAATCCGGAGAGATGGTCGACAGCAGTCTTGGCGTCGTATATGTCCTCGTAGACAACAAAAGCGGTGCCACGGGTTTCTTTGCTCGTCCCGATCCGGATCTGACGAATCGCGCCGTATTTGCCGAAGATATCGTACATCTCCTCGCTGGATATGTTGAACGGAAGGTTTCGCACGTAGAGCACTCTGTTCACCTCCGGCGGCAGTCGTGTGTTTCCCTTCCGGAGGCTGATCGCCGCCATCTCAAAGCTAGGGTTCCGGTATCTAGCAGAGAAACAGGCTAGCTCCTTCTAACAGTCTACCGGGGAGCTAATATGTTTGCTTAATGATGCGGGTCAGGTATTTTAATTTGTACAGTCAGGTTTAGGCGGCCCATCAGGCCCAATTGTCTTAAAGAATTAGATCTGTGGGCTAGGCCAGCCCACAAACTCGTTTATTTTATTTTATTTTTATTTTCTTTTTTTAGTTATTGTTGAATCAGTGTATGGGATTTAAGTTATGAGTATTTAGTAAATCTCATGTCCAATTCAAAAATGTCCGGAAAATACACCACACACTAAAAGGAGACTACAGTAGAAAATAGTATAGAATACGTAAACTTTATTCGTGGTATTAAACTTTTATTTATAGGAATGAATCCTGATTTTTCAAAGTTACATATTTGCCTCTCATCATTAGCCTTAAAAGGCCTTTCGGTAAATTACAAGAGTATTTAAATATAATGCATTTCGTGGGAAGCCTGCAAATCATTTATCATGCATTTTTATTTCATTGAAGAAACTCAAACGTAGTTCTGACAGATAGTCCTTCGATAGCCCCTGACGGTCATTCATCACATTCTTCCTTTGTCAGCATCTGATTCGTCGGTCGTTACCGTCTGCGTTCGGTCGGCCATTTTTTTCCCGAACCGTTTGCTCGCTTTGAAATTCATTCCAACATATATTTTGTATACATCCCGTAAATCCATATCTATTAAATCTTGAATGGGTTGAAGCCGGAAATCTGTGTGATTATGGATTTTTTGAACCTGTATGTCCATTGAACTGTTTGGCAATTTCAACGATGATTTAGGAAGCAATTATGACTGATGAAGATAATTGAAAGCTCGCGAACTTAATTCCTAAGCCCCGCAAAGCTAAATCCATCGATTCGTACAATTTAGAATTTACAGGATTTACAACTGAAATCCGTGGAAACTGAATTCACGGAATCGCGAAATTTATTTTGCACAGAATGACCGTCTGGTAGGATTCGGCTTAAATCGTGCATAAATCCGACGTAAATCTATTGCCAGAAATTTTGAAATAGGAATGTAAGAAGGTGTCATTCTTAGGGATACATATAACTAACATTTAAATTTTCATATTTTCATATATGACACCCAATTTTTTAACATTATATAAAAAATATTAGTGTTGCAAAATTTTTAAAATTGAAATATATATTTTCATACATATATTTATGATACCAAATTATAATTACACCAGATTTATGAAGGGTTTAATCCAAGCACATTTGAAATAATCAACTATGTAATTGTGAGTACACAGACTCACTCTTCTCTTGAGTTATAAAAGGTTAAAATACAAAATTGGTGTACAATGATATTTCAATAATAATAGGTATAATGGGTTGCGAGTGTCACAATAGATTGTTATGGAGATAGTAGTCTGTTGTGAATGTTATAGATTGGGGATGTGGCGTAAATTTATCGCAGATGTCATTTTGAAAGTTATGGTTGTAGTTGGTTTTGTAAATCATAGATGGTTGTTTCAAGAGAGTCGGTTGGTCACAAAAGATGTAGTAAGGAGCTACAGTAGCATTCGTAAGCTACAGAGACAAAAATTTAGAGTTGCATGAGTTGTGATTATCTTTGTAGGTTGTAGAGATTATAGTTAGGAGTTACATGTGTTGCGATAACGTCTGTAGGTCGTAGAGGGTGAAGTTGGGAGTGTATGAGCTATGATAACATCTGTAGGCATCAGACGCCAGAGTTGAGAGTTGCATGAGCTATGATAATATTTGTAGGTTGTAGAGGCAATAATTGGGAGCTACATGAGCAGTGATAATGTCAATAGTCTACAGAGGCCGGTGTTTGGAACCACATGAGCTGTGAACCACATAGATTGTAATTGGTTACGCAGGTCATATATGTGGGTTACAAGGAGAGAGCTTCAGAAGTTCGGGGATAGTCAATGTATTCTGAGTATAACGATTCTAAGCAGCTATTGTGAGGTACGTTGTTATATCATCTTTGGGGTGCGTCATTACCCTATCTTTGAGATGTGTCATTGCACCATCTGTGGGGTATATTGTTTCACTGTATTTGAGGTGTGTTGTCACATCATTTTTAGGGTGCATCACTACACCACTATTGAGGTGCATCGCTGCATAGTGTTCATGATGATGTGTTACTCTTGGGGGCTTCATAACTTCACAACTTACGTTGAGACTCAGTAACATCTGTTGTGATTCTGGATCAAGTTTCATTGCAATGAGCCGAGGGGAATCAATGATGTTCAATGGTGGAGACGAGTAGTGGTCAACAACGGTTGAAGAGAGTTGGTCAACGGCTACCGATGAGTAGTGGTCGACAACAGCCGACAAGCGGTGGTCGAAGGTGGGCAACGACTGAAGGAGTGGGTGGCATTCACTAGAACTAAAGTGTAGAAGAGTATACCTCAACTCTTTCTGCAAACTTTTATCTTCCTCTGGCTCACAATTTAGGTCCCCTTTCATAAGGGAGTATAACTCTATTTATATAGTATATGAGAGGCTTTCATACAAATAAGAAAGGAATCATGTTCACTCCATCAAACGTCACAGAGAGGTTTCCTTGATTAGACCATATTTTGTAAACATTTGGGTGCCTTAACAATATTAGAATTGAGTGATATTGGGCTTGTTGGATTCATCTTGTTAAGATGTTCAATTCGACTGTAAACTTATCAGATTTGGGATACATTTGACCTTTCAATCGAACACTAGATGTTCTAAAAAATGGCTTAAAAGCTCGATTTGGGCTTAATTTGACTCGGATTGAACCAACTTTGGTGTTACTTTCATCGAGCCGATTAGTTTGACCGCATGTTTGTTCAAATCAAAGTTCAAGATGATTTTTAATGTGAGTTTAAATATTTTTTGCTAAAAAAAAATCTAACGCAGACAAGTAGAAAAAAGTAGCAGGAATAGATATCAAAATTTTTATGTGAAAAACCTTGGAGAGCGACAAAAACAAGAGGCATTGCTAAGTTAAAGTAATCTACTATGTAATTGTGAGTACGTAAGTTCACTCTTCTCTAAAATTAGGAAGATCAAATTACAAATATGATAGTTACAATTGTACAAATATATTCTATCTTTACTAGTCAAATTTGAGACACAAATAACATAGCTCTTGGGGATAATAATGATAGCTGGATGCAATGGTTTTTGTTGTTGATAGCTACAAAGGCTGTAGTTTGCCACTTGTTGTAGATTGTGGCTATAATAGTCCTAGCTTGTCGTAAATGTCGTAGTTGATAGCCATAATAATTGTTTGCAATATAGGTCATTGTTGGTAACTTCATATTTTTTTCCTAATAATAATAATAATAATAATAATAATAATAATAATATATACTTTTGAGAAAATAATATTTAAAATTCGATTAAAACTCATCTGAACTCTGATTTAAGTAAATGTATAGTCAAATTGACCAGCTCAACGAGACGGACCCAATGATATCAAAATTGATATAATCTGAGCCAAATCAAACTCAAATCAAGCTCATAAATCACTTTTGGAAGCTTTCAGTGCATAATTAAAAAGTCAAATGAATTATTAATATAACATGCTTATAGTGAAATTGAGCATCTATACAAGACAAATCTAAAGAGCTAAGATCACTCAATTTTGACATGATTAAGGCAGTTAAATATTTACAAAATGTTATCCGATCAAGGAATTCTCTTCGGGTCATCTAACCAAAGTGGTTTAGATACTTTTCTTATTGTAATTTGGACTTTATTTATAGAGCCTTACTCCCCTCTTGAGAGAGGAGGAGAGGAAGACCAGAGGAACTGAAGTTTATTATTCTGCACCGACGATAAAGCGAACTCTTCCTGCCCTTGCAACTGCCAAGTATCGCTGACCATCGCTTGTCGGTTGTAGTCGACCACCATCAACCGCCATGCAATGAAACACAGACGGAAGAAACAACTGACACCTCGGAGTCGTGAAGAAACCTACAAAGAAGTGCATCATCTGGAATGTCGAGCCAAAGATAGCTTTCTGAAGCTCCAATAATTACTCCCTACTGTGATCGCACTCTACCATGGGGCAACGTGCTCCTCTTCGAGCGAACGTTGTAGCTCGAGAAACTTTGTAACCATTTCTCTCCTATGAGACAATGAATTGTATCTGTAATCACCAACTCACAGCGGAATATTTCAACTAGGCAAGACCCTATGATTTTCTCTTTTCGAATTTTCCGCATATAAACATTTGATGTTTCTGTTGGTTATCTAATTTTATATGAGTGTGTGATGGATTCTCGTACGACACAAAAACGATAATTGATTACTCTGTCGTCATGAATCTTCTAGCACACATCATACATATGCATGATATTATACCTCAAAACTTTTAATTATATCAATATCATCAACTCTATTTTATAAGATCACCCTTATAAACAAGTGCACATATATGTAATAAACTACCTCAAAATTCAAATCATATAAATTCATGATCAATCCAATCAATCCTAAATATCACCCTTACAAATTACACATTAAAAATGCCAAATTTTATCATTTATTTGTGTCATTGTGTGTGTTTAGCGTGCACATGTACATGAATTAACATAAACTTTTCAAACTATCATAACAAATTATTTTTGTCCTAATCATATAACTTATGAATAAAATTTAATTACATGTTATATAGATATTACAATAAAGAATCACATGATATAACTAATAATATATTATTTGCAACGTAAGGTATAGTATTCTGTAATATAATATCTCACCGACTATCTGCTAAGAATCATATAAGAATTTGGAAGCATCTGATCCACTCTTTATGTTGTGTTCTCCTCCTCATCATTCTCACTACTCTCTACCCCCATCATAAAACTATATGGCAAGTATGTATAACCAAGCCATCTCTCTATAAAAAGGCCAACATTACCTCCATCACTTCCAAGGAACACACACAGAGATCTCCTCCCCTCTAACAGAGATGGCCAATCGTCGCCTCGAAGATGTGGGAGACGATGCCTTCCGCATACTAGAGAAGCTCTTGAAACCTCAGCCGGCGGTGATTGACAGTAACCAGGCGGCG